GGTGGTGAGAGGATTCACCAGAGACAGAGTGGGAAGCAGAATAGGAGAATTGTCTGAAATACACTGCTTGAGGGGAGCAGTAGGCAAGACAGGAGAGATCTGGTGGGTCCCTTCCCTTGCTGGGGATCAAACTCATTCTGCAGTAGTTGTGGGTAGCTTCATAGTGCTACACCTCACCCCTTGTGCCACCAGGGAGGCTCTGTTATAATATCTTATTTATGTTTGTGATTCTAATGCCTTTTCTTATCTTTTTGAAGTTTGTTAATAATTTTTGAAGTTTTCTCCTCCTGCATAGTTTCTGTTCTCTTCAAGTTGTGTTGTTTAGGTATCAGGATTGCTGGCCCCAAGAACGATACCCTAACTTGGTTTTGATTCCATGGGATGGAGGCAGGAACTAGCCTCTGCAGTGTGGCCTTGTCTCCTTGTATCAGGAGGGGGGCTTCCCCCAGATGTATGGTGTGGTATCTGACTTGTTGAACTGTACCCCACAGAACTCTTGTCACCCATCATGTTTTTAGCTTCCGGGAAAGAGAGTTGGGGCTTTTCTCCTATTACCTCAACTGGTGACAAAGCCATGAGCTAACTTCTGTTCAGATTGTCTGTGAACCCTTCAAGGACCTCTGGAATATACCTCATGCCTATGATCTCTTTCCAGCAGGTTTGCATGTCAGATTTTGCCTGATTGGTTGTTTTGTCCTTTAATGATTAGCTGCAATATGAATGGGTGTGAACAATATGTGTGAACTTTCAAAACTTAGGTCACCATAATGTGGTACTTCATAGAAATGTTCCTCCCTATATTTTTGTTCTCCTCCACCTCAACCCCAGTTTCTAGGAAAGAGCTCACATCCTAGTCTTGGTGCATTCTCATCATGATGATACTCTGCCTTTTTTGCTTTTCTCTGTGATTACAGACACACCCATTCCCAAGCAGAAACAGTGGTTTAGAGAGACTTTTGATTACCTGTTTGCAATCGCCGCTTCTGCAGAAGCCAGAGATGCTGGTGTGTGTCTGGTGTCTGGGTAAGAGAAGAAATCTGAAGTCATTTTAGATTTAAGGGTGAATTTAATAAGCTTCAAAACAAAATACTCTTGAGTATCTGGTGTGAGCAGGATGTAGAGGATTTAGAACATTTTAGACTTTACTCCAAAGAATTTAAGGAAGACAAGTTATGGTATTAGACTTCTAAGCAATAAACAGGTGTTATAGTTTCTCATGACAAATACTGCTTTGATTTCCTCAGGGATTTTTCAGTGGTTTACAGGGTTAATGTGAGTGATGGAAAGCAAACTGGTATAGCATAGGAGTGGGTGCTGTTGCCCGAGATACAGGGACATCTTATTTGGTGTCATGGAGAATGAGAGGTCTCCATAAAATAAACTTTCCAGGTCATTCATTAGCGTAATCTTTTGAGTGCCATTTAGCACACTTATGTTGGATTTTTAATATAGCATTTGATTTCAGAGACAGGCATGATTACGAGAAAGTATTAAAGTAAATCTATTTAATATTCTAATACAAAGTAGCACTTAAAGGATGACAATCACTTTCCATATCTTCTAAACAGAGATCACTAACCATCTAATCACATTCAACTTACATCCTGATGCCATCATTTGGGATAACATGAGTCAGCTTTGTTACCCATGTGACAGGACATGGATGCCCTACAGTCTTTTGCAAAACACAGAGGTGTGTCTTTCACTAAGTTCTCAAAACATCTTTTTACCAAAAAATCATTTTCTCTCTTCTTTTGAGATTAGGCTGCCTGCTGACTTTTCTGCCAATGTACACACCTGTGGGAGATTTCTACTCTCTTCTTCTTCTTGACTCCTTTCACCATCACGAACACCCAGTAATGTTGACATCATTAGTTTCCCAAAGTCCCTATCCAAAGTAAGGACTTTGACTTTACTACCTTCTAAGGATGGATTGATGTTAGAACTGTGTCCAAACACAGCTGAAGACCCACACAGAAAAATTATTATCATTGATTTATGACCATCCTTTGCTTTAGTTCAAAGCCAACTGGCCTCAGTCAAATTCACAAATTTTGGACATGGCTGTGTTCAAAGTTCAAATGTCCTTCCAAGACTAAGACTTTGCCACCTCTAAGGGTATTAAAAAGATATACTTTAAGCTATCTAAAAGAGAGTTGTTTATTTCCCTCACATGAACGATTTTTTACCCTGCTTGCTTCTAGGAAGGAAGGAAAGACTCACATTTATCCAGCAAGACACGGACACAAATGTCCTGTACATCTTTGGCAGAAGTACATAGATGTACATAACTTTAATCATCATTAATCTCTTCAAATTAGTATATTCAGCATTTACCAGTATCGCCTCTCCTAGGTGTTAGGCATTAGAAAAAAAACGTAGTAGCTATTACTCGACATATAGTAGATGCTCAATAAATAAGTCTGAGTGAATTTTTAAGAAGATGGACATGGTCCTGTACCTTGCATTCTACAGGGAACATCCTCAACCTAATGAATTACAAACGAGACATGAGTTACCAAGGGAAGAGAATGGGGAACTGATGTCTGGAAGCAGAACTGGGGAGTTATAAGTAGCCACCTAGAAAAAAGTGATGTTTCAGCAAAGACCATGTGTGATGTACATAGGTTAGTCTGATGATGTAGAGGTGATGGAGACAGAGACAGAGTCAGGAACGAGGGGCAGCATTTTAATAAGGGCACAGTCCACCTGTCCACCTGAGTCTAAGGCAGTATCTGGAGAACTGAAAAAAAGTCCAGAGTAATGGGGGCTTTACACAGTGAAGTAAGTATTCATATTTACTTTTCAAAACAATTTGTCTATAGTGTAAGGAAAAGATTTGTGGGAAGAGATAAGGGTGGGATAGATTAGGTATTAATAGAGGGCAGATGGATTTGAGAAATGCTTGGGACTTGATATTTGATGGCACATGGGAGGTGAGGGAGGACAACTCTTGGGTTTCCAGTATTAGCACCTGGGTTTATGGGGCACCATTTTCTCAACTGGATAAGAGGTAGGGAAGAGTGGAGTTGGGGAGTAGGCAAACTGGGTCTGGACCTGGTTGTAGAGTAGAGTACAAGAGGGAGAAGAGACGGCTTCTGGGTGTTCTGTCTATAGACAATGAAGAGAGCAATTTGGTCCAGCAGAATTGCAGAGTGAGGCCACAAGAGGGCCCAGCCTAGAGCACTGCAGCAAACACAGTACCTTCCATGGGGGCTGCTTTGAATGATTTACTAGAGAGATAAGTTCTGGTATGTTAATAACCATATCATTTTCAACTTGTATTGCAAGGAAATGAATTTCCTTGCTATTTTCCTGCAGTCATGATTTGCATTTATTCCTAGTGATAAAACAACCCAATACTTACATATCTAGCCACACTCCTAGCAGCTATTGTCAAGCTTCCTACTAGCAAGCAATATTTTTGCAGCATCACCCACCACTAGCCATGCAGGTGACTTAGCGGGACCAGGACTCTTTCTGAAGACTCTTGGCTTCCATCTGGAAAGCTGAATGGGATGACTTATAATTTAATTGGTAACTCATACCTATGTTCCGGGATAACCACAACAGCTCATTCCAGTTTAGATATTTTGTCAGAACTGAGGCCAACCTGTAACTTTTGATGATTTGCTTACCATTTTTATCAAGCATTATACCAAACAGAAAATCCAGATAGGAGATTAGAGAAAGAACCAAATTCAATCTTCAAAAGACACCCTGCTTTCTTTTGTAAAATTAAAAAAAAAAAAAAAAGACACCCTGCTTTTTAAATGTCTTAGTTCCCCAACCACGAACATTTTAAATTTAGCTGCTAGGCATTTGAACCCCAGAGAATGGAAAATGGGATCTTTTCCTCTTCCTGTGTCCCCGAAGTGCGATTTTTAAAAGACTTTACAGATTGTCACAGGAAGGTTTTCCAGGAAGGTTTTCTGCCTGATGTGTTTGAGTTGGCAGATATTTAAAACTGCTCCTGCTGAGGAAGTGCCGTTCTGGGCTGATGTGGTTCTGGGATTTCGAAAAATGACCGAGGCCGAGCTGAAGAGATTCCCCCAACATGTGTTTGGCCAGGCGTTCACTACCCTGAAGTGTGAAGGTGCTGCCTACCTCCCGTGGCTGCAGAAAAGGTTGGTTGAAATGGCTCTTGGCTGCTTCCTTTACCCGACACAGCTGTAACTTCATGGGAACTCATGAAAAAGAAACTGAAATGTGGGTCTGTAATCCAAGGGGCCTGCTGGGCCACCATTAGTGTCACCCATACAAGGTCAGAATTGCCCTAACCGGTCAAGCAGTCACAGGAACCCAACCCTACAAGGTGCCTTTCACATCAATTAAGAACACAAAGCTGGGTCACTCTGGGAAGGGTGTTCCTCATGAGGTATGACTGGGAATGCTGGGGGAAGGGAGCATTGACTGATGTATGACAAGGGATCCCAGAAGCTGATCAGTGAAACACCTTGTTGATAAGACTGAAACCCTGACTGGGGAACTAGGGCTTATCTCAATGACAATACAAGCCATCAGCAGTTGAGAAGTAGACTCTTAATCCAGTTCCATCCTTCCCTTTTCCTTCTCCTTCTTTTCTGCTTCCCCTTACAATTAATGCTATATGACCAGTTTAAAAGGCGAGGGTCTTGCTTTTGAACAGCATCTTGCATTATGCAGCTTGTTCCACCAGTGTGGTGTTGCATGATGCCACACTGAAAATCCTCCATCATGGCCTCTCAGAGCACTATTTTTTTTTTTTTAGTCAGCTTTTTATTGATTGTGTCACAAAAGACAGGTTAGTCAAAAAGGTCGAAACCTCTGTCATCATCATATGCCTCAGATTCTTCTTTCTTTGCCTCTACTTTTTCCTCCTCAGCTGGAACAGTAGCAGTGGAAGGGGCAGGACCACCTGCTGGAGCAGCACCTGCTGCTGGGGCAGGTCCACCAGCCACTACATGGCAGATGAGACTTCCAGGGTTGACAGTGGCCAAGGCCTTTGCAAACAAGCCAGGCCAGAAAGGTTCCACATTTATACCCGCTGCTTTTTTTTTTTTAATTAATTTATTTATTTGTACAGAACTGGGTTACAGGCCAGAGATGCGGAGGGTGAGAGAATTCACCAGAGACAGAGCGGGGAGCAGAACAGGCAGATAGATGAAGTACACTGCTGAAGGGAGCAGCGGGCAGGTCAGGAGAGGTCTGCAGCGCCATGTGGTCACCTCCGGGGCAGGCGGGAATCGAACTCATGCGGAAGTGGCTTTAGCTTCTTAGTGCAGTGCTTTAACCCGCTGCGCCACCAGGGAGGGCCTATACCCGCTGCTTTAATGAGAACGTTGACCTTATCCTCCGTGACTGTCACCTCATCATCATGCAAGATGAGGGCTGAGTAGGTGCAGGCGAGCTCTGAAACTGAAACCATGCTGCGGGCAAGTACTGGGTGAATGCTGCCAGGCATGGTGCTAGTCAGGGATAAAATGAGGGCTTCACCCTAACTCAGCCACAGCTCTCTCAGAAGAACGGAGCACCTTAGCAACAGGCTCAGAGCCCCTTTATTTATTTGTTTTTCCAAAGATTTATTTATGTGTGCATTTAGAACTGGAGTACAAGCCAGAGGTGCAGGGGCGGTGAGAGGATTCACCAGAGACAGAGTGGGGAGCAGAACAGGCAGATCGAAGAAGTACACTGCTGAGGGGAGCAGCGGGCGGGTCAGGAGAGGTCTGCCGCGCCATGTGGGTCACTTCTGTGGCTGGGGATCGAATTCTCACTGAAGAGTCTGGAGCTAGCAGTGCTGCATCCTAACCTGTTGCGCCACCAGGGAGGGCCCTCAGGGCACCTTTTACTGAATCTGGGTGCTCACAATCGACTAGGGCTCTGTGAAGGCATCGGTAGGTAAATCTTGTGCCTGGAAATGGAGTCACATCTGAATTCCATCCTCTAGAGTGCATCTCCATGCGGGACTTAGCGCTCCGACTCCCCACCCTGCCCCTGCCAGTAAAACCCACTTACCAAGACATCATTTAGTATCTTCGTCTATGAGATGGGGAAGTTATGCTTTCAGCTAAAAAATTGTATGATCTATTTGAGTTCTTTCGATGACTTATGCTTATTATAAATTATAGTGTCTATTCTCCATTTATACCAAATTTATCCCACCCTCATCTCTGCCCACAAATCTTTTTCTTATAGACAAGAAATTTGAATTTCTTTTCTCATTAGTACCAAAGAAAATAGCTATTTTTCTATTTATTTTTTTTGTTATAAATAAGAATTCTAGAACTGAGGACTTACCTAAGTTAGGTAACTGCTTCCTGATTACATTTAACCCCAAATACTTGAACTTGCATTTCGGCTTCTTTTCAGAAATCTCTGTTTCTAGTTAGGAAGCACATCAGGAACATCTTTACTAGAGAAACATCAATAAATCTCTTTCTAGTACAGTGTGGAAATTGCAAGCGTGTTGCAGGTTATGAAACATTGGCCTCCAAATCTGGATATTTGGTAGATGAATAGGAACAAAGTGAGTTATTGTATAAATATTGGTAAAGTGACTTGAGATAACAATGATCTGGTTCCAGATAGAGGTTATAGGATAACTGGTTCAAATAATTCATTAATTCCACAATTCTTTATTAAACCCCTATATATGTGATATGATGCTAGAAGCTGATGAAAAAAGCTAAAATAGGGTGGCTTTTCTTAAAGAGTTTGCATTCAGTTGGGAGATGGTGTATGTGTGCTTATCTATGTTAACAATTACCGTGACACAGTGGTGAAGGCTCAGTCCAGATTTCTGAGGGTGCGCTGGCAGCAGAGAGGAGAGGCTCAGGTCTGTTAGACAAGTGTCATTAGCATCATGATATATTTTTGTAAATTTTTGAATTTAATTTTTTATTCTTATTTATATATTTGTAGTTTTTAGATGCTTTTCACGCTTTTACCCTTTATCAATTTATGTGGAATATTTTACTTTTGCAAGTTCCAGGTTCATGAAACTATGTTTTTTTTTAAGATTTACTTATTTGTGCATACAGAACTGGGGTACAGGCCAGAGTTGCGGAAGTGGTGAGAGGATTCACCAGAGACAGAGAGGGGAGCAGAACAGGCAGATCGACGCAGTACACTGCTGAGGGGAGCAGCGGGCGGGTCAGGAGAGGTCTGCCATGCCATGTGGTCACCTCCGGGGCAGGCAGGAATCGAACTTATGCGGAAGCGGCTTTAGATTCTCAGGCTGTGCTTTAACCCGCTGCGCCACCAGGGAGGGCCCGAAACTATGTTTTTATGTATCTGCTTTTGAGTAGAGAGTCCACAAACCTGAATGTTGAGAGGAAAAGCATTTTCTTGTCTTGAATATTTCCCTCCATCTTTTCCTGACTACAAACCTAAAGCAGTATCACAATTTATATGTATGGCTTTGGTACAGAAATAAACTGTCTTTACACTTCGCGTCCTTTTCCCTCTATCTCCTGAAATTTCCCTCTGTTTTAATTCTGGATGTAGCTAGGGAACACACTCAAATTAGACCCTCCTTTACCTGCCCAGTCTGGGATGAGAAAGCAAAACAGAAGTGCACATGTGATGTGTAAATATTTGAAAGGTTCAAGTTCAAGTCACTCTATAAGATAGATGTATCCTTTTACCTTTATAAATGTGCCCCACAACTACCTGGAGATCATGTGTATGTGGAAAAGTCTTGGCTTCCCAGGTCTGCTGCACCTTGACATGGCATTTCAGGCCTTCTGTGCCCACACACACTCAAGCTCCGTCCATACCCACCCCTCTGGCTTGGGTCCCTGAGCAGACAAGGTTATAGTCTGCCCTCAGGAGAAGACAACCAGGCCCTGGAAGTGGGCAGGGATTTGTGAGGACTCTGGGGGTGAGCGGGAGGGCTTTGAGCACACCCCTCAGCCACACTACTCATTTCTCAGGCTGCTGAGAAGGTCCAGAAGTGGGACCTCTAGGCAACCCAGTGGAAGGAACAGGCTTCCTCCACAATCTGAAAGTAGAGCATCCTATCTGATATTATGTGGTAGGCTGTATTTTGGCTTTGGGAACACTATGACCATTAGTTGATATGTAATAATATTTCAGCATTCTCACACCCTAGCACTAACCTTCTAGATCATAGCCAAGAGGAATGCTCTACTTTTGGATAGCAAGGGAAACCTATACAGCTCCTATTAACCAGTGTGTTCTGGGTCCTAGCAACAGTAATGGGGTGGAGACACAGAGAGTTCTCCCCATCTTTCCCTGAAGCAATGTCTCTAAAGTCTAGACAGAAGACTTAAACAGAAATTATTCCTAGGAGGCAAGATATGTTACTGTCAGTTTATTATAAAGGATGAATAGTAGATATGGTTCTTGGGAGAGATGGGGACTGTTTTGATGGGGCAGAGAAAAATAAGGCCCCCTGAGGCAGAAGGGGTGTTGCTGTGGCAGGGGCCTCACCCATATCTACCTGACCCTTCCCCTGCAGTCTTCTGACGTTTCCCAGTTTTCCTGGAGCTGCTCTAGGTGGTAGGAATTTCTCCTGGGTGAGGTTAGGGGTTGGGGAGGGGAGAGAGTGGGTGGCCCAGGCTGGACTTTGAATGAGAGCCAATTCCCAGCATGGTCATGGGCCCTGATGCTCTCCCGCTCTTGCTGAGAATGAATATTTCCGTTCTGGGGCCTCCCTCAGTCATCTTCACATGGAAACAAATTACCTGAATAATTTGTTCTGTCTGCTTCTAAAGTAGCACCTTGTAGAAAGCTGGCTCTTTATTTCCATAATAATGTCACCTTCAGGCCTACCCTCTAACCATGGGGTAAAGGCCTTGGAAAAATCATGCTGCCCTCTCATTAGCTAGAAATCTGCTCTCAGCAATTTACTCTACTTAAAATAACCCAAGATAATGGGACTTTGTGTGAGTGAGGGCCTCTTCCTCACAGCAACACTACAGGGCTGGAGGGTTACCCAGCTGGAGTTCAAGCCTGGAAACAAGTTGCTTTCTGCCTGTTTTTAGTGCCAGTGCCAGTGAGAAGAAGCCTTAGGAGCTGTTCTTGTGCCCCACAGAGGCCTTTTGCATTTGTCTGATACACATGTCCACCACGACAGCAGGCCAGACATGAGCCCTCAGACAGAAGGTCCAGGCTATCTGCTGCATGAAGTCCTGACAAGGAGAGTTGGCCCAGCAATCTTTCCTCTCTCACACCTCCCCTGTGTCCCTGATATAACAGGCTTCCTCCTGTTCCCCAATGTGAGGCCCTGCACAGATAACTGGAGATTAACTGTCATCTATTCCATCCGGGCCTGGCTCTGACCAAAAGTCCAAAGTGGAGAAGGGAAAGAACTATGGATCTCCTTCCCTCAGGTGGGAGGCTTTCTAGGGTGGTAACTCCCTGAACCTCCAGGTTAGACTTGGTTGGAAACAGCTGGGATTTCAGGCCAGGTAGGGGACAGGGCCTCATGACAGTGAGGGGGGCGAGATACTGAAGGCTAACTGTGGGCTGCCCCCCAGGGGCCCTGCTAGGAAGACACACTAGCCCTGCCCGTTCCTCACCCCCAGGGTCTGTTTTCTTGCCTCCTACGCCTCACGCCATGAGAGTGTTCAGCCTGCAACGTTCCCTCTCAAACGAGGCATTGCACTCAGCCAACCATACAACAAAGGTTTCAACTTAAAAGTTCTCCTTCTGAAATAATAGAAAAACTATTTTTTTATAACACAAATTAGATCTTTGGCATTGTCCAAAAGAACAAAAGGGATCATCTCCCTCTCAAAAGAAATAAAACTCAACACTCTCCAGAACAAATACACAAAAACCCTCAGAGATTTAATTAGCTACACAGATCTTATTTAATGTATTTGGCCAAGTGAAGTCATATTCTGCTGCTTTTCACTTGTCCCTTCCAGGAAATGAATTACAGGCACCATGTCAGTGGAGCCTGTCTCTCTGTCAGGCACCTTAAATAGGCAGATCATGCCAGCCAGGCCAGGAAGGGCCTGCTTTGGTGACCCGGAGGATGCTGCTGGTTGTGTGCTGTGTTTCTATGCGGAGGGCCCTGCTCTCCAGCAGGGCTGATGGTGTAGTTCCTGCCTGAAAGCTGTTGTCTTGAGACCCAGGAAGAGCTAATGTCTTACTTTGAGTCTGAGGGCAGGAGAAAGCCCATGTTGCAGTTCCAAGGTGATCTTATAGGAGGAGGGTCTGCATTTTTATTCTAATCAAGATTTCAGTGGATTGGATAAGGCCCACCCACTTTAGGGGGGCAGTTGGCTTTACTCATTCTGCCAATTTAAAGTCTAATCTCACCTAAAAATAACCTCACATAAACACCCAAATACCTGGACATCCCATGGTTAAACAAGCCAGCTCATAAAAAGCACCATCATATACCAAGCCAGGATATCATGCTGTCTTCATTATGGGGAGACACTTAGGTCAAGTGCAGTAGTATTGGGGACTAAGGTACTAGGTCCGGGGAGTGGTAAGCCTAAGACGTAGCCTCTTCCTTTGAGAAATGTATTTTTTTTTATTTAAAAAAAAATAGTTGAAATAAACATTTTTCTTTTTTTTATAGCCTCAAACTTTTTTTTTGAGTTTCTTGAGAAATGTATTTTATTGGCATCAATCCCCTAGAATTTATTGTGTTTAAGATCTGTTGAAGTCCCCTCATGCCCATGTCATTGGAACTTCACAGCTGTCCTCTGAGGGAGGCAGGGGAGGGCAGATTCCTGTGATACCGATGAGGAAACTGAGTCAGGTGTGAGTTGAGTTGGCCAAATTCTCAAAGATAATGTGAGGCAGATGTGGGGTTTGAATCTGTGGCCTCTGATTCACCTTCATGTACTTCATTCTGCCACGTATTTGCCTTCCCACTCCCCAGCTGTGCCAGCCCTTGACGAGGGGCACTGTGCCTCCCACATCTTCCGTGTCTCTTGGCAGTGGCCTGCTCCCAGACTTGCAGGGGCCCTGATGTCCTCTCCTGCGTGTCACATGTCTAGGAGTTCCTGTTCGATGGGCAGACTTTTAGTTTTGCAAGGTGAAATCGTTTGCAGATGGGTGGTGATGGTGGTTATATAACAATGTTAATATATTAAAATGATGCAAATGGTGATGTTTATGTTCTGTGATTTTAGCAAAATTAAGGAGATTACAGGAGCTGGATAAGCCATTTCTTTTTGTTATTGACATACTTAATCCAAAAAATATCACTACCAATCACAGCTGGCTCCTAGCTTACCAGCTACAGATACTTTGTGTTAGTCTCATGGGAACATCCTTGTGATAGAGAGAATGGGGGGCACATGATCTTGTACCAGTTGTGTAGTTGGGGAGACCAGCCTAACGGGGAAAAAACAAGCTACAATTAATAACATGAGACAAAATGTTCAAGGCAGTAAATTCAGTTGCTAACTCAATGACTCAAATAGGAAATTCCAGATCAGTTAGGTTTTTACTTAGCATTAAGAATGATACAAAAACTATGAAGCAAAAGGAAAGGGAAAAGGCATAAAAATTTTCTTAGTTTTGAATTTTTTTTTAAGATTTATTTATTTGTGCATACAGAACTGGGGTACAGGCCAGAGACTCAGGGGCAGCGAGAGGCTTCACCAGAGACAGAGTGGGGAGCAGAACAGGCAGATCGACGAAATACACTGCTGAGGGGAGCAGCGGGCGGGTCAGGAGAGGTCTGCCACGCCATGTGGTCACCCCTGGGGCAGGTGGGGATAGAACTCATGTGGAAGTGGTTTCAGCTTCTGAGTGCTGTGCTTCAACCTGCTGCACCACCAGGGAGGGCCAGTTTTGAATTTTTGAGATGGGTTTTCATTCAGGTCCAACTGTAGGAATTCTCACTTTCCACAGATGCTGGGCAGTGCGTGGGCAGATTTGGCTTGAATGCTGCTTCACTTTCTTCTATCATGTCCTGAAAGAGGTTGGCCCGGAAGCCACTATGGCTTACCTCACTGTTTCTCCTTCCCCCAGGTTAAAAGGAAATGGGGCACTGATACTCACGCGACGAATAGAAGACCTATGGGAGCTTCACCCATCCTTTGACATCGTGGTCAACTGTTCAGGACTTGGAAGCAGAAAGCTGGCAGGAGACATGACACTTCTCCCTGTGAGGGGCCAAGTGCTCACAGTCCAGGCTCCTTGGGTGAAGCATTTTATCCGAGATGGGGATGGGTTGATATACATTTACCCTGGTGCATCCAGTGTAACCCTGGGAGGAACTAGGCAAAAAGGAGACTGGAATCTGTCGCCAGATGCAGAGGTTAGCAGAGATATTCTTTCCCGGTGCCGTGCTCTCGAGCCTTCCCTCCATGGAGCCTGCAACATAAGTGAGAAGGTGGGCTTGAGACCCTGTAGGCCAGGCGTGCGGCTGCAGAAAGAGCTGCTAGTCCGGGATGGCCAGAGGCTGCTCGTGGTCCACCACTATGGTCACGGCAGCGGGGGCATCTCTGTGCACTGGGGCTCAGCTCTGGAGGCTGCCAGGCTGGTGAAGGAGTGTGTCCATGCCCTCAGGGCCACTCTTCCCAGGTCACAGCTGTAGGCGACATAAAATGAGGGCAAATGGCTCTGGAGACTGTTGACTGAGACAAGTCAGGCACCAAGTCAGAACAGATTCAAATAGCTTTTCATTGCATGAAAGTTTTGTTAAACATGTCCTTGTCTTCAATTTTAGAAGAGAGGCATTATATCTTAGTAGATGGAGTGCGAAACTAATCTAATCTAGTGCTAACCCAGTAGTAGGCCGAAGTCTGTGCTAGTGTGAGGGGACATACACTCTGTTTTTACTGAAAATGTTTCTGATGAAGTAAGGTTTCTTTTAGGTTTGGTATCCAAAGGTCTGTGCTGATTTATACAGATGCTGAAAACGATAGGGATTTTGACACTTTTTTGGCTTCTAAATCCACACATAAAGACAATGTATGGAAAACACTTGCTGTCACTTGCAGAGCTGTCCTTGATGCCTGTAGCTTATAGTAAAGTGAGCATTATAGTCTCTAAATAAAATGATACAGTGATCATACAATACAAGCTTATCACATTTTTAAAAAGATTATTTATGCATACAGAGCTGGGGTACAGGCCAGAGGTGCAGGGGCAGTGAGAGACTTCACCAGAGACAGAGCAGAGAGCAGAACAGGCAGGTTGAGGAAGTACACTGCTGAGGAGAGCAGCAGGCGGGTCAGGAGAGGTCTGCCACGCCATGTGGGTCACCTCTGGGGCTGGGGGTCGAACTTGCACTGAAGCACCACCAGGGAGGACCCCAAGCTTATCACATTTAATGGGAGACAGCATGATTTCTGCTGGTACTAGTGACAACTGCTTCCTCCCCTCGACTGGGAACAATTGTAGAAGCCAAGGGTGACGTGGTGACCAGAAACTCAATAGTTGTTTGAGATCCAGCACCTGGATGGTGCTTTCCATTACCACAGATGATTGAGAGCAGACTTGCTGGATGGTTGACTTTGCCTAAGCATTTTTGAAGATTGAATAGCACGTGAAGCCAAGAGCTAATTTGCTAATGAAGGTGGAGCAAGCGTCCAGAATGAAATGTAACTAAAGAGTTCTCTGCCAGTGGTTCAAAAATATCGGGGGGAATGTGTCTCGTGATCAGTGAATTGCTGAATTAAATAACTCTAACCTGATGTCTTGAATCTGTTTAAGGATGTTGGAAATGTTAGGAGGGTTTTTATTTGAGTGAATGGACAAGTAGGTGTTCATTGTGGCAAAGAGGCTTTGGAGAAATATATGTAATTTTAAATTCTTTTGAGAGACAGCTTGTTTATTAACAATAAGTTCTATTTTGAACATCTTGGGGGTACAGTGGGGGCTGGTAATGAGAACATGAGAAAGGCCTTAAGACAGTTCCATTTCTACAGTTATGTTCATTGAGTTTTGACATTAGAATTTTTTAGAGAACATTATATGGAGGAGAAAGCCAGAGCTCACCAAGTATTTGGGGGATCTTAAAGTACTCGTTAAGCCAATTGTAGGTTCTTTTTATTGATTTCCACCAGGGGGTGGTGTTGTCTCAAATTCAGATATGCTGGTAAATTAGAGATTGAGAAATGACTAGAAATAAAAAAATATACTAGCTGTGTGTTACCAATGTGTGATTCTTTTCAGAGTTTGGAGTGTGTATGCCCAAAATACAATTTTTGCATATAGAATTTGTGAATTCTGTTTAAAATTTTGTGAAATGTGCAAGAATGAAAAAAAAAAATAGTCATCACAACCAATGAGGAATGTCACGATATAATGGCATTTTAAATAGGGGGAATAAATTTTTTAATAGTTGAAAATGAAAAATAAGAAACGCCCTTCAGAATAGGTATGTTCAGTCATTCTGACAGCAGTTTTGTTCCTTACTTTATTTTGCCTAGGTAGGCTTGCCCTCTGTGGCCACTGTCTCTTTGCTACCCTAACTCCACTCCCCTTTTCTATTTCTTTCTGTTTTTTGTTGTTTTTTTTTTTTAAGATTTGCTTATTTTTACATACAGAACTGGGGTACAGGCCAGAGATGCAGAGGGTGAGAGGCTTCACCAGAGACAGAGTGGGGAGCAGAACAGGCAGATCTATGAAGTACACTGCTGAGGGGAGCAGCGGGCGGGTCAGGAGAGGTCTGCCACGCCATGTGGTCACCTCCGGGGCAGGGGGGGATCGAACTCATGTGGAAGCAGTGTTAGATTCTCAGTGCTGTGCCTTAGCCTGCTGGGCCACCAGGGAGGACCCCCTTTTCTATTTCTAAAGCGTAACATTACAAGCCTGAAAGGCTGAGGACTTCCTGCAAGAGTGGTCATGTCTGTGCGTCTTAATTTCATTTTCACTAATTGCAAGTACTTGTTCCCAGTCTCTCCCACAGGCTGACTCATTTTGGTCGATGGCTGCCAGCCTGGGCAGCACTCGAGCATCACCTAAGGAGTCCTACAAAATTTACTGATGCTCAGTCCTGCTCTTTCCCAGTAGAATCATTGGGGTGGGGTGGGACTCCAATATCAGTATTTGTTCAAAGCTGCCTCAGGTTGTAATTGGCAGCCAGGACTGAGAACCAGCGGGCACTGTCCCCTCCTCTGCTGCTACCATAAACTCTAGCTTCCCTCTGCACCTCTTGGTCTTGGGGCATCAAACTAAGGGGTGTGTTTGCGGAACAGTATGTCCTTAGGCTCTGAACAAGGTGGCTGTTGGGATACAGGGGAAAGTTCCCGACTGCCCTCTGGATTTTTCTCAGGCTGAATGAGTAATCAAAACAGCATCAGATGAGTTAGTGGGGGGGTGGGGAGGGGGAAGATCAGTTTCATTACTGGCAGGGGAGTGCCAATGACTGCAGATCCTGCCATCAATTAGGGAAAAGGGGTTTAAATCCTGAGTCCAGGTGCCTGAGGCATCAAGGAAAGGAGAGGGGAGACATGCCAAGGAGGCTGACCTCATCTTTACTCTTAAAGATGAGATTCCTCTACCAATACACTTACACCTGGATGACACCTTCCAAACTACGCTCTGCTAGGTCATAGAAAGGAGCAGTGGTTGCTTCACTTATTGTAGAAGGGTGAAAGCTTAGGTGTGACTGTCATTTCTTACTTTGGGAAAGGGTTAAGAATTCAGACAAGTACAAATTTTCTCCCCAGTCTCTAGACCATTCATTGCTCTTAGCTCAAAGAATACTCAGGGCACAGAGTGCCCAGTCTGTTTTGGGCACTAGCAGAGCCTGTAGAAATTAGCTGCCCCCCTCAATGGCCTCTAGAAAGACTGGGAGTCACCTCCCTGGCCATGGGCAGAAAAGAGGCTGAATACACAACAGTGGGTAGCTCATATATAAAAACAGACCTCTGACCCAGCACCAACCTGGCCAGGAGACCATCCAGGCAGGGGAGCCAGTTTGCTAGTCACACTGGCAGGACTAGTGCTGTCTCAGGTAGCCATCTAGACAGCTGACCGACTCCTTTCTGCACCAACTCGCCTTAAATGGCCAGGACTTGATCGCTAACTGACAGCTCTCCTAGTTTTTATTCTATTTCCATTTTAGGACCAACCAGAGAAAGTCAAATATGCACCCCCAGATATGTGCCACCTAGGATGCCCCTTTCTTTTTAATTTGCTTCCAGTATCCCCCTGCTGATGGCGTCAGACCAGGGCACACCTGCGGTCTTCTTTTTTCCCCACTATAAGGCTCTCCCCTCCTCTGCCTTGAGTGACAGCGGCCCCTTCCTTGCCACAGCAGGCTTTGAATAAATAGCTGTTGCTCTTCTCCTTTGGTGGGTCTTTGTTGCTAAGAAGATTTCCTGTTAATATAAGTTGAGGTCTACGGTATTCTGTGCTAAGGCCTGAATAGGCCGCCCTCAGCCCCAACCTGTTTTCTATTTACAAATTTTTGTGAACATGGAGAACAGTTGATTTCCTTTTAAATGGCTGCTTTCAGGTGTCTGACATTTGTGGTTAAGCTGGAACCTGCTGAGTCTGTGACCAAAGGATGGGGACAGCTTTGAGGGCGCGGGCATTGCAGGCGGGGTACAGGCACTGTCTTTGGCAGACAGAGGTTAGATACCTTCTTTTAAAGATTTTATTTGCTTAGGAAGAAAAGAAATTTAACAGCAAGGCCACGGGCCAGTAGGCCACAGCTGTGGAGAAGAAAAACTATTTTTACAATGACATATATTGTAGTTCTTTTATTGACTGGGTGCAGGCAAACCAACTGATGTTTGCACTAATTTTTCTCAGTCCATTAAAGGCTTTTAAAGACAAGCAGGAAAAGGGTGGTGGAACCTGTGTCTGCTGGGAGCTATTGTTCTGGGAACCCCTGAAGGAGTCTCGGGACTCGTCAGATATCTGCAACAAACACAGCACTTCCAGTCCTTCCCCCTGGATTCTGCTCATCTTTATTCTTCAGGGTATGAAAGATGGAAACACATTTGAAATTTGTTTCCTGCAGGTATCATTCACTCAGGAAAATGACTGAGATGTGTAACTGGGCATTTCTGAAAAAAATCTGTGTTTGCTACCAGGCCTGAGGTCTTTATTATCTTAAAGTGACTTTGCCATCTGTAAGTCACGGGCTTAAGTAGCCAAAGGGAATGCATTCACCAGAGCTCTGGAAAATATGTAAGCAATCTTTCTTCAATTACCGGCAGACCAATCCTTCTGCTCAGGGCACCTGTCGAATCTGTCCCCACAATTCACCACTCAAGGCTGGTTTCTCTGAAATTACATATAGTTTTTCCCCTGGTGCCTGTTCAACATTATCCACTGTGCCCATAGCTCTTCATGCACCCCAGTATTTCCCTTCTACACCAACCCAGTGACAGTTGCATGGTGAATACTCCAAACGCTTTGCCTGTTCTGGCCAGGTTCCCCTTTCCTGGGAATTCCACTCAGACTTGGGGACCCATTACCTGGGTACATGCTCTGTCTCACTGGTCACAGCTTACTGGATCTGAGGAAAGTATCAGGTTGAGGCTCAGTTGAAATAATAGAAGCTTCCCTAAGTAGTTTCTTAAACAAGGTGGACACGGATCTCTCTCTCACATAATAGAAGCCTGCATGGAGGCAGCCCAGGGATGATGTAGGGAGTTCATCAGTTACAGAGCCTCTATCTGCTTATGCTCTGCTAGCTCAGGAAAGCAGCTTTTGTGTGCAGGGCTCCAAAGTTGCATTTAGAGCTCCAGTCATTGCAACCGGGTGGTCCTCAGGGAAAGGGAGGTTCCAGGTGCCCTGCCCCACCCAAGGCAGGGTAAGCTGAGCAGGGAGGAGCAGAAGCTGGAAAGGGGACTCAAAGAAGATGGAGAGCCAGGAGACCTGAAGAGGCACTTGGAGCAGAGAGACATGTGACAAAGCTGTGTTTGTTTCACGGCCTTGGACTGGGAACAGGGACTTGGTACGTTGGAAGGAGACACTTGAAACAAACATGGTTGAGAGAACTGTGCGGTGGTTAACACGGCAGCATTTATCTTGATTTTGATTTTGCTTCTTTGGTTCCACACTTCAACATTTGCCCCCTTCCCTCCCTTTCCTAATGGGTCCCCACCAGGAAGTGCTTGAGACTTGTGGCAAACTTTTGGGCCAACCGTGTTTGGCTGGGCATTTACCCC